TAAATGCAGAAACTCCTGTGGTCGGATCAACTTGTGGTTGCGCCTGTTCACCTTGACGACGCTCGGTAGTGAGTAAGAGAGCCTCCAAGGCCTCATATGTAATCGGAGTGTCCCTGGCCTGTGCAGCACTAACAGTAACTTCAAAAGCTGGTCCGACGTTGTTCATAATAATAGTAACAAGATCAGGATCCATAATGGGGCTTCCTGCGAGGGCAAGATTATCTGCAATCGAATTGATTTTGTCCAGGTAATCTGAAACGGACAAGTCGCCTTTGGCGGTGCGAAGAAGCTCATTACGCAGATGAAGGATGCGGTTGTGAGAGGTGGATGCATAGCGACGTTCCAAGGATAACCAGGATTGACGAGATGTGGGAGACAACGCCACAGTAGACAACACAGACGGAGTGAGTGAGTTGTTTATCCAACTCAATATTGTCTGGTCTTGCTGGACCCAATAGGGATAAGAAGGGTTGACGACACTTTCGTCTCTACCAGGAAGAAACTTGGGAGGACAAAGGACTGTGCCATCAACGTAGCCAAAAAGATCACGACTACGAAGAATTGGAGAAATTTGAGCCAACCACAGTGGGTAGTTGGAGCGGGTCAATTTGATGGTAATGATGGTGGAAACAGCAGGTGGCTGATGGGGTTGGTTGTTGATGGTGGACGTAGGACTTTGGTCATTGGTGTTGTTGGTATTGGAAGGATTTTGGTCATTGGGAGGAAGAGCAGAGCTATCAGAGTTGGCCATGGGAAACGTGGGGAAAAAAAAAATCGTTAGATAATAAGAGCTCTTGATACCATGAAAGACTTAGGAAATGGGAGAAAAGGCCACACCAGTAACTCTGGTGTAAGCACGTATTTATATTACTGTATTGATATCTTACAATTCAAATTACAAGAGCTGTTCCAATAAACAAGGGATCAGCTCAATTACAAAAAAGCATTATCAGCATATCAACTATTCAAATTCAAATCCACAACTGACTTATCAATAACAATATGCTTGTGACTTGGATTGGGTCTAACAACTTTTCCTTTCCTTAATCAAATCCAATCTAGGCCTCTAAAATTTCCTTCCTTGAACAAAGTGTTGTATTTTGAACTCAACCACCAAGCCTAATTTACAAGTAAAAACTCCCAACTCAAGGCCTAACACTCCTTAGTAGAGATGTCAAACGAATCGTGACATGCCGTGTTGGACCATTTAAATTTATGCCACTAAGTTATTTGGGTCGGGCCGGCTTATTTATTTAATTGGGTTGTGCTATGTTGGTCCATTTATCAAAACCATTAATCCTGACCCAAAGTCCAAATCCACATTGAGATGGACTGTGCTTGTGCCGTGCTTGGCCCATTTAACTTGAATTTCCTCTTCTTTTCCTTTGAAAAAGAAGTCATGTTACCCTATTAACTTTATACCAAAGAAAAATTATAATATGTTAATATATTTCTTATATGTAATATGGGATTAAAAATTGAGGAGTTATTGTAGTATTTATTTAATGTGAAAATTTATGATTTGTTGGAAGAAGAAGCCACCAAATCAAAGTCCATATATGTAGATATCGAGAGGAGGCTAAAATATGATTTATGTAAAGTGAGCCTTGAAAAATAAAACAAATTTAAATGGGTTGGATTGATGATACTTTTGCTGAAAGAAAATAAATTAAATAAAAGACAATTAAAAAAAAACAAACAAGAAACTGGGCTTGTTGCGAATATTGCAAGCAATTCATGTTTTTGTGAAACTTTGCAATACGAAAAGGTTGAAAATGGTTTGGTTGTTGGGTAACTTATTAGCTGCTGCCACCACCATATTAGGATACAGGCTTTGTCCTTGTCCTGGTTGTTGTTGCTTCGCGTCTCCACTTTTGCTTTTGGTTTTGGTTCACTGCCTTCTATTTACCAAAAAACGATAAAAAGTTGGTGCGCCATAAGTTGGCGGGTTAATTTGCTGGTATAAACACTTCTTTCCTTGCCTACGCGGTTTTTATATTGTCCCAGAATAAAATTGGCCTTACAAGTCAAAAAGAAACACTAGTTTTTTTCATATTTTTGTTTGTTTATCAATAAAAATTATCGCTTTTATGCGACCAATAATATCGTGTTGTTCATTAAAGAACACATAAGAGCTACCCTAAGAGTTTTGATAAAAGAGAAAACAAAAGAGTTATGTTGATATATATATGGCATTATAAGAAAATGTAAAATAAACTACACCTAGATAAGAGCAAAGAATTTTTAAAATGAACATAATAAAGAATGTTTAGAAAGAACTTAAACGAAGAACAAAAGCGCATCGCCAATAAGGTTGACTCTCCAATGGTACCTGCTCGAACCCCAATGATGGTAATTGAGCCCCTCCCCCTCCCCCATAATGTAGATCGCCGAATTTAAATGTACTATATATGTGGGCATGATTAAGTTTTTCTTTTTAACGAAAAGGAAAAAAGAAGGGCACCATATGGAGCATGTAAAGTAAAACTTGTAATGCACTATATGTGGAGCTTTTCCTCCAAGAAAGGAAAAATTTGGCCACGTAATAAATTAGAGTGAAAACTTGTACATCAGGCCGCTGGTGACATTAGAACAATATAGAAAGATAGCTTCATATCATGTCAATCGTTTTTAGGGGAAAGATATGGAACCTACCCCACACTTGGAGCTTTCAATCTTGATGATGAATTTCTTCACCGCATAATATTATTTGTAGCCATCAAATCCAAAACTAAGAGACACAGAGTTTAATTTCTTCTCTCTACTATCCAATCCACTGCTGCTGCTTCTTCTTCTTTGTTGTTGTTTTTCATGTCTTCGCGAAAGCAGACACCTCCTAGTTTTCCATGGACGGAGGGAGAGAAATACAGCAGCAGCAACAACTCCAAATTCATAGAAGTATTCTACTACTTCTTTACCCTAAACACTATTCCCTACGTCCTCGTCAGATGCTGTGCCCTCCTTTTTCTCTTTCTATCCGCTTCTTGGCTTCTCCTTCTCCTCTTTTGCTTCCCGCCCGCAACAACCACCACTTCTTCAAACGACGTCGTCAGAGAACAAGCTCAAGTTGCTGAACCACAATCGCCATTCAAAATCCCCACGTGCGACAAAAACATGTCAGTCTATGTATACACTTTGCCGCCCCAGTTCAACCTCGGACTCCTTAGCCAGTGCAACAACCTAAGCATAAAGGCCAACATGTGTCCCGCCGTTGCCAATTCCGGCCTCGGTCAGCCACTTAATTATTCCCGCGTAGGGCACTCCGCTGTCACTAGTAGCTGGTACACCACCCACCAGTACACGGCGGAGATCATATTCCACGCGCGACTACAGAACCACCCGTGTCGCGTGCAGGATCCCACACGCGCCTCCCTCTTCTACGTCCCCTTCTACGGCGGCTTCGACGCTCTAAGCAAGTACCGTGAAGCCAATCTCACGGCCCGTGACGAGCTGACGTTTAGCTTGGTTGACTACATACAGGCTCAGCCTTGGTGGCAGAGGAACCATGGTAAGGACCACTTTATGGCCCTGGGGACGGTCGTATGGGATTTCATGCGAACCATGAGCAAAGCCAGTGCCTCCTGCTCCTCCTCCTCCAAAGTTCGTACGCCCGGTACCCTCCTAAAGCTACCCGCCGCCGAAAACATGTCGGTGCTCATCATAGAGAGACATCCTTGGCAACCAAACCAACACGGCATCCCCTACCCTTCCTATTTCCATCCGTCCACGTGGCGGGAGATGGCGGCGTGGCAGAGGAAGATGAGGCTGATGGAGAGGCCCCATCTGTTCTCTTTCGTCGGTGCACGCAGAAAGTACAAGGCGGCCATCAGGAACGAGTTCATAAGGCAATGCGGTGAGTCAACTCGGTGCAAGCTCTTGAACTGCGAGGGGCCCGACGGGGCAAGAAGGTGTTTGCAGCCGAGGGAGATCATGAGGGTGATGACGCGTTCTCAGTTCTGCTTGCAAGCGCCCGGCGACACACCGACCAGGCGGTCAACGTTTGACTCGGTGCTTGCTGGTTGCGTTCCTGTTTTCTTCTCCCGTCACACGGCTTACAGTCAGTATGCATGGTATTTGCCTGGAGATGCAAGCAGGTACTCGGTTTACATAGACGATAAGAGCAATGCGACTAGAAGAATAGAAGAGGAGTTGTTGAAGATTTCGAGCGAGAAGGTGAAGATGATGCGTGAAGAAATTATAGATTTGATGCCAAGTCTCACTTATGCGCATCCTAATGCCACTGATTTTGGGTTTGGGGATGCTGTGGATGTTGCACTTGCATCATTGGCCAAGCACATCGGTGAATTAATTAATTAAAATTAATTATTTAATTAAAAATGGTACCTTACAAGTAATAATAAAAGAACGTAGGACATATTGATAGAATATATATTTTTCATCACTTATATTTTTTTTATATTATATAGATTGTAATTCGTTACCAAGTTTTGTACATGTGGCCGGCTATTTGGCTAGCACATCATTAAATAAGTGGGCCCTATTTGTGCCACATCATTATATTCAATGAATTTTTTATTTTTTATAGAAAAATTCTGGGATTGCATTAATAATTCAGTCAAAAAAATCATTGACTACAAATTGCCATTACAATAATGGAATGATCTAACATCAAAATTAAGACAATCTAAGACTCCTCCACTAATAACGATCACGCAAGATCGAAGACATTCTAGCATAGGCATTCCAACTAAGAGTACAAATTTAGAAACCAAAAAAAAAAAAAAAAAAAAGAGGTTTATTATGGAAAAATTAAAAATAAACATGGAAAAAAAGAAGTCATAACAATACAAATAAAACTCTTACATAAAAGAAACAAATTAATTATTTAATGGAGTTAATAAAAATGGGCAAATTGAGATTCGGTGTTCTCGAAAGATAAAGTGAGGCAAATGAGTTTTAAAGGCACAAAGATTCAAATTAAGTTTCAAGGGATATCAATAATTAAGCCTATATGCCATAATTAAAGTGGATCCTAAACCTTTGTAACATATGCACGATAATGTTGTCAATAGTGAGATTTGTAAATGTGATTCATATATACAATTCAGGGCTGCAATTATTCTGTTTTTAAATTTTATTTATTTATTTATATGTGAAAATTGAAATTACAAAACAAAACTCCTAGGACAAGAAAGCCCAAGGTCAAAATAAAAAGGGGAACATATTGACAAAGGAAGCCCAAGCTCCCAACTAACTTGCGATGAGAGCCCATGGCCCAGCTCATAGTGAAGTTTGCCTCCTTGAACGCATGTTGGAATCGAACAGAAGCTGTAGAAGAGCTAAGGTGCCATATATCTTGAGTGATTTGTTGGATACTCCAGGGGGAAGTAACTTTTTTGAGGACATTGTCAATAACAAGTTTAGAGTCACCATCAACCACAATTTGACCCCAACCTCGATCAATAGCAGCAGCAAGACCATCTCGAAGAGCAACACTTTTAGCCACATTTATGGAATTTTCACCAATGTTATTGGCACCAACCAATAACACATGACCATCACTATTCCGAATGAAAAAACCAGTGGAAGCTTGAGAATTAATGACAGACCCATCAAAATTAATTTTAATCCAAGCTGCAGAAGGATATCATTTTTCTTTTTGACCAAATGGTTAAGTTGTTCAGGAGCCTGATGAAGGACTTCATGCAAATCAATATTGGTGTGGTTTATGGGGTTGAAAGGAAGGTTATTCACAACGAAATCCTTAACAAGCTGAATAAGAAGGTGCTTAGTCTCTGCCCAGAACTGATGGAATAAAATTACATGTAAACCATCAGAGCCAGGGGCTTTGAGAGCGCCAATACTTCTAACCGCTTCAAAGACTTCCAACTCAGAAATATCAGCCATAAGCTTAGAGTTGTCCTTGCTAGAAATACTAGGCTCAATCACACTTATAAAGTCCTGGATATTAGAGCTAGCATAGGGTCTGACTGTGTAAAAACGTTTCCTAAAATTTTCAATGAAAACATTTCCCAAGAAAGAAGGCTCAATCCAATTACCTTGATCATCTTTAGTTCTACTAATTTGGTTTCGTTTTCTACGAATGGTGGCTTGAATTTGGAAGAATTTTATGTTTTTGTCACCAAGCTAGAGCCAATTTGCCTTGGCTTTTTGGGCATAGAACATTTCCTCTTTCTTAAGGAGGGTCTTGAGATTGGAGTTGAGCTATTTATCCTTGTTGATAAGGAAGGTTGAGGTGGGAAAGTTTACTAATTGGGTTTGGATAAATTCTAAGTGGTCTTGGGTTTCTTTTAGTTGCTGGAAAAGATTCCCAAAAACCTCAGTGTTCCACCTCCTCAAATGAACCTGGAAGGTTTTGCAGCAAGTAGAAATTTGTTGAGCTGGATTTCCTACATAAGCTTGGGACCAAGATTGATTGAGAACTCAAGGGAAATCAACATGGGAAAGCTACACGGCTTCCATCCTAAAAGCTTTGTGAACTCTAGTCCTGGGATTAGAACTGGTTAAGATAATGGGGCCATGATCAGACCTGCAAATAGGCAGGTTTAATAGCTCATAGTTGGGAAATAAATTCAGCCAATCCGGATTAGCTAAGACCGTATCAAGCCTTCCAAAAATTATAGAATCATCTTGGTGACCATTGGACCAAGTAAAAGGCACACTTTCAGCATGAAGGGATACTGTACCACAATCATTAACAAAAGCATTGAAAACAGAAATGGCTCTATGGAGAGAACTGTTTGAAGTGGATCCTCCAATTTTCTCACATGGAGAGCAAATGTTGTTAAAGTTCCCCAATGACATGCATTTCCGAAGCTGTTTCTATATCCATGGACCTGGATAGCGCCCTTGATATGCCAAGTATAATGGTCCAAGTACATATGCGCGGCTCACCCTGCTAGCTGCTAGGGGTAGCTGCTAGGGGTTATGTTATGTGTATTCATTTATTTATTTATTTATTTATTTATTTATATGTCTGTCTGACAAATTAGTGAATTATGTACTAATCATACGCTAATCATGCCTTATCTCACTCTATTAGTTTGGTCAACTCCATCAAGCCTCAATTACCTCTACTCAATTTCACCATTTTTCATCCATCATGCTATAATTTAATTCATTTCATGATTCCAAAAAGAGTCGTCCGCCATTTTGGACTATGGATATGCTTTTTCAATATATATATATATAACATAATAATAAAGCTGGTGTCCCACACGTAGATCAACGTAACACAACCTTCATACATTGATATTCATGAGGTAAACCCTCGACCAATTAGAATCCCACACGTAGATCAAACCATAGCAGATCAACCATCTATCTATGTGCCTTGAACCTGCATCAAACGACTGAGATTTTCTGTTTCTCAAAACAAAATTGTCTTCTTGTCTCTCTTCTCTCTTGCTGTTTCAGTTCTTCATGTTTTCCGAAAAGCAAAGACCTCCCTCTCTAACCAGGCGCGGTGGCTTCCTTTTCCTCTTTGTATCGGCTGCTTGGCTCGTCTTTCGGTACCCGTTCACTGACATTAACGTTATCCAACAACATGAACATCCTCTTCTTAACAAAACCCAACACGACAACCAAGTCAACGAATCACCATCCACAGCCGCCATTTGCGACAAAAACATGTCAGTCTATGTATACCCTCTGCCGGCCAAGTTCAACCTCGGCCTCCTTCGCCACTGCCACAAACTCAACGTGCACACCGACATGTGTCCCCACGTCGCCAACTCCGGTCTTGGCCAGCCAATTTCCAGCGGCGGCTGGTTCGCCACCAACCAGTTCACAGCGGAGATGATCTTCCACGCACGTGTGGAGAACCATCCCTGCCGCACGCGGGATCCCTCGCGTGCCTCCCTCTTCTACGTTCCCTACTACGGCGGCTTTCACGTTTCAAACAAGTTCCGCGAACATAACCTGACAGCTCGTGATGAGCTGGACGTCAGCCTGGTTGACTTTATCCAAGCGCAGCCTTGGTGGAACAAGCGCAATGGTCAGGACCACTTTATGGCCCTGGGGAGGGTCGTACGAGATTTCATCCGAAGGCCCAACGACCGCGACTACGGAGCCGGCCGCCTCCTAAATCTACCCGCAGTGAAGAACATGTCAGTGTTGATCATAGAGAGACATCCATGGCAAGGAAAGAACCAGTACGGCATCCCTTACCCTTCGTATTTCCACCCGTCCACGGGTCAGGAGATGGCGTGGTGGCAGAACAAGATGAGGAACGTCCGGCGGCCCTACTTGTTCTCCTTCATTGGCGCTCCCAGAAGGAAGGCGGCTATCAGGAAAGAGTTTATAAGGCAATGCGGCGAGTCAACTCGGTGCAAGCTCTTGAACTGCGGTTCTTCTGACGGCCGTAGCAAGTGCGGCGAGCCTAGTGAGGTGCTGAAGGTTATGTCCGAGTCTCGGTTTTGCCTGCAGGCGCCCGGTGACTCCTTTACTCGGCGGTCAACGTTTGACTCCGTGCTTGCGGGTTGCATACCGGTGTTTTTTTCACCTCACTCGGCTTACACTCAGTATGGGTGGTATTTACCTGGAGAGAGAAGCAGTTACTCGGTGTTCATAGATCCGAAAAGCAAAGCAAGTGCGAGAATAGAGGAGGAGCTCGTGAAGATTTCGAGTAAAAAGGTTAAGATGATGCGTGAAAAGCTTCTAGGTTTGATTCCAAGTCTTACTTACGCCCACCCCAATGCGACTAATTCTGGGATTGGGGACGCGGTTGATGTTGCACTTGTATCATTGGCCAAGCAGGTCAACAAAGTCATTAATTAATTCTTTGTTTTTTTGTTTATTGAATTATTTTTTTTTGGAGAGGCATTGGTTGGTTGGATGAGATATAATAAAACATTTATTTTTATTTTTATTTTTCCAAATTGTTTATGGCGATAGAATCAATACCCGTCCTCCTAGTTGTTTTAGATTTATTTTAAAGTTTTCTTTTTTGTCAAAAGATGGGGGATTTATTTTAAAGTTTCAAGGGTATAGTTTTCATTTCTATATCAATTTCGGCTTAAATGTTAAAATAGTCATTGTGTTATACTTATTTGGTTTTTAGTCCTCATGTTTTTAATTTGGCCAATTGAGTCCTTGTGTTTTATTCCGTTAGCCAATATTGTCCATTCTGTCAAACAACCATTAATTTTTTTTTAATTAAGTTCAGTTTACAAATAAAATTACAAAATTAAAAAATTAAAAAAAAAAAATTTGGAAACCAACAACCTCTCTCTCTCTCTCTCTCTCTCTCTCTCTCTCTCGCATTGCATTAAGTGCCTGTTTGATATTGCTTATTTGGAGTGATAAGTGATTTTAAAAATAAATTTGGGAAGCCCAACCCGTTTGGTAAACTATGAAAAAAGCACTTATTGTTAAAAATTGTTGTGAGAGAAAGCTATAAGGAAAAATAGCTAATGAAGTGCTTTCATCTTTTGATTATGCATGATTCATTTTTGAAGAGGCGCTAGGTTTAATGATTATGTGGCAATCAGTTTCTGATTATGCGAGAATCAGTACCAACAACACTTTTAACAAAAAATTTTTGAAACGCCAAATTGTTTTCTCTCACAACAAATCTAACAGTGATTATTTTCATAGCACAACAATTTCAAACTTGCCCTAAAGTTGTGAACGGAGGAGTGCAACGTTCAATAAGGAATGCTGATAGTGAAAGAATTTCTAAACATTATTTAAACTAATAAAAAATCTCTAATTATTTAAGAAACATAAAATTTCAATTAAAAAATTAAAGATCAGTTTTTAAAACCATAATGATTAATAGATTAATAAGAAAAGGCTTAAATGTTAAAATAATTCATGTATTTTATCCGGTTGGATAATTTAGTCACTGTGTTTCCAATTTGGCCAATTTAGTCCCTATGTTTAACACCGTTAGCCAATGTGATATCCAATCTGCTAAAGTATATTACAATTTTGATGAGAATTATTGTTACTGTAATATATGTTTATAATTGGTTTGAATGAGAGAATGATATTTCCATTATATACATATTTTGAAATATGAAGGAATTGTTAGAGATTTCAAAATATATATATATATATGAATAGATATGTGACTGATTGCATATATTAGTGATGAGTCGTTGGTGCATTGTGAAACAGATTTATCCTTTGAAAAGTATCCCAACAATTGTGAACTTTGGGTATTGACAGTTATATTCAATAAGATGCATCTATCCGCCGGAAGAATGCCTTGGTGCCTCTTCAAGAAAATCAAATGGGTACTTTTGACACTCACTGGAATCTATAAAAACTCCACAACATGGGACTTCTAAACACAACAAAAATCAATCTCTCTCTAACTCTTCTTCTCAATATATCATACAATTTTATTGTAGAAATTCTAAGGAAATTTTAGTTTTTGCTTAACTCGATAATTCCAATCTTTATTGTATCTTGGAAGTGATTTGTCTAGAACCCATTAGCAAACTCTATTAAAGTGGGAGCAAATATCACTTCAAGGAAAATGTAGTAACGTGCCTCAAAGCCAAATTTTCTGTCTATTCTCAATTTAATTTCCAATAGTTCAATTCTTCAATTTTGCTCAGGGCTTGGATATTTAGTCCTTTTAGGCCCAAAACCTTGCCTCAATAGGGCATTGCCATGTCATTTTATTTTGTGGGGCGAAAGGGGGAAAAATCAGGTATAAACAATAGCATGATGAATGAGAATTAAATTTATGAGCATTAGTATGTAAGTTATTTTGAGAGGATGTTCATCCATGAGTATTTTAGAGTGTATGTTCTATAGAAACATTTGGGTTATATTCAATTACTGTCACTAATATTTATGTTCATGATGATAACATGTTTTATCCATATGTAAGGTTACAAATTATAAATGACAAACAAAGTCGAGTCCACAGAGTGACAAATGCAGCGCAGGTAGCCTGTTATGTTCTGTTTATTTGTTTATGGAATGTCTTATTTGTCTTGAACAAAAGAAGATCAAGCTTCAGACCAAAAAAAAACAAAACAAAAAAAAAAAAAAAGATCAAGCATTCCATTTTCAATTATTTCCCAATCACAGACAACTTGCACAACATGTTCCACGAAACTCTTTTTAAAATCATATTCCTCCTGGCCCTGCCCCACCCACCTTTTTTCTTTATTTGGTCAAGTTATAGTTGTCACCACCGTGTACGTTTATTACGAGTAACCGCTCTCACAAGATTAGGACACGTCGACGCATGCATGTGCTTTTAAGTCGTTGCCTTTTGTCTCATTCAAGTTGGTGCGTCATACCAAAGTTGGTGCTGCCACACCACAGCTTCTTAAAATTCTTCTATTGCGATAGGACATAAATGCCCTTGCACCACCGTCAAACACAATGTATGCTATGTATTGTGAAAGTAAACAATCACGTAAAAAAAAAGAAAGTAAAAGAATTGTTTTACCATGAATGAAGGCGTTTTCCCAAGAAGGGTAAAATAGTGCCAAAATTTGAGGGTGTAGGCAACAAATTATATGTGTCTTTCTCTCTGACGGAAACGGAACAATAGAGAAACCTTCATTGTCCGTCGGCCCCGCCACTTGACCTTTCTTAATTAATTTCTGGCTAAATTTCTCACCAAGATTGCTGACCACTTTGCCACTTTGTGCCCATGCACCAAGCCAATCACATACCTCTGATGCTTCTCCTTCTTTTTTACTCTTCCTTTTCCTTTTATTTTATTGAAACGCAGTCTCTTCTCTCTCTCACTGCTACTTAGCATTCACCAAGTCTCTCTCTCTCTAAAATTCTACGTATTGCCATACCTTGTTCTTCTTCTTCTTCATGTTTTCAAGAAAGCAAATCTCGCCTCCAAATACTCCATTGGAGGAGGAGAAAGACAAGTACTATTATTCAAAATATAAAGAAACCCAATTCTCCCTCAACAATCCCAATTTAAAGTTTGCTGCCTTAGTTTTTATCTTCCTATCTTCTTGGCTGCTGCTTCTTCTCTTTTGGTTCCCACCCAAAACCACAAACAATGTCGCTGTTCTCCATCTCGCTCACAAAACTCAAAACCCCGAAACCATCAATCTCACCACCGCCGCCGCCACAAAATCGCCGTTTGAGGTTCCCACATGCGACCCAGGCGTCGCAGTTTACGTGTACCCTCTGCCGCCCAAGTTCAACACCGGGCTCTTGAGCCGCTGCAAAACCCTCAACGTGTACACCGACATGTGTCCCCACGTGGCAAATCGCGGCCTCGGCCAGCCCCTTCCCAAGCTTGGCTCCCCCGCCGACTGGTTCGCCACCCACCAGTTCATCGCCGAGATGATCTTCCACGCACGTGTGGAGAACCACCCCTGTCGCACCCTCGACCCCGCACGTGCCGCCCTCTTCTACGTCCCCTTCTACGGCGGCCTCCACGCCTCCAGCATGTTCAAGGAGGCCAACCTCACCGCCCGCGACGAGCTTGCCGTTGACCTCGTTGACCACCTCCAGGCGCAACCCTGGTGGGCGAGGAATAGCGGTAGGGACCACTTCATCGCCCTGGGGAGGACCGCGTGGGATTTCATGAGGGCCACCGACGGTCCGGATTTCGGCGCCAACTCCCTCCTCAACTTGCCAGCTGTCAAAAACATGTCGGTGCTGACCGTGGAGCGGCACCCCTGGCAAGGCTCAAACCAGCACGGCATACCCTACCCTTCCTACTTCCACCCCTCCACGTGGCAGGAGATGCTGACGTGGCAAAACAAAGTGCGGGAGATGAAGCGGCCAAACCTGTTCTCCTTCATCGGCGGGCCCCGCAAGGGGTTGGAGAAGGCGGCGATCCGGAACGAGTTCATACGGCAATGCGGCGAGTCGACTCGGTGTTTGCTCATGAACTGTGGGTCCAGTGGGGCCAGCAAGTGCCACGAGCCCAGCGAGGTCTTGAAGGTTATGACCGAGTCGACGTTCTGCCTGCAGGCGCCCGGCGATTCGTTCACTCGTCGGTCAACGTTTGACTCGGTGTTGGCGGGCTGCATACCGGTGTTCTTTTCGCCGCACACGGCGTACACGCAGTATAAATGGTTTTTACCGGAGGAGGTAAAAACGTACTCGGTTTATATCGACGAGAAGAGCTCCGCGAGTAGAAAGATAGAGGACGAGTTGTTGAAGATATCGGGAGAGAAGGTGAAGGCGATGCGCGAGAAGCTCGTGGATTTGATACCGAGTCTTACCTACGCGCATCCGAACGCCACAGATGTTGGGTTCGGAGACGCCGTCGACGTGGCGCTTGCGTCGCTGGCCAACCACGTGAGAAAAATGATGAATTAATTCAATTAAATTTTTGGAGCTGCGAATTGGATTGTGTGCGTGTTGAGTTTGGGAGAGATGAACAGTATTGGGACGTAGAAGGTGGAGGTTCAATGAATTAATTGCTTTGTGAGTTGGACCATTAGACCTTCCTTTTTGGCCTGCCGACACTCCAGTTCTCCCTTACTCACCGTCTTTTTCTTATTTTGTAAAGAACATTTCTATTTATTTCTTCATAAATAAATAAAAAGAATTAATATTTTTTTTTTTAATTAGTCACATATTTGTATTGATTGTGAGACACAATACTTTCTTGTCAACCGATTATATTGTTGAAGTACAATTTTAGAGCTTGATCAAGCAATTATATTGTAGAAGTACAATTTTAATGACAAATTTGATGACACGACTTCGAGTGTCTGAATGTATTTTTCTTGAGCTACAAACCTTTTGCATTGTTGTTTTCGTTTAGAAGCTGAGTGTTTGAATGTATTTTTCTTGAACAAAATGAGTCTGTTGGCATTCGGTCTATACTTACATTTTGATAAATTATATTTATATATATCCCAAACTGTGATTCGGAGAAAAAATGAATATTTGTTTATCGGGAAGGAGTACGTGGAACAGTTAAAAAATTAGTAAGGGAATCAAGTGAAATACAAGAGGCAACAAATGAAGGTATTTTATAATAACAAAATAGTTATACGACAAAGAATTGGACGGTAGCTAGGATCTCTATTTTATCATACAAAATAAAAAGAATAATGGGCGGCGACCAACGTGGCCCCTCCCTTCCACATATAATAAACTAAAGTCAGAAATCGAAAAACGTGTGTAAAATATAATTCACAAATGAAAGAAATATATATATATATATATGTAGATTATTCGGCTCGCAATTTAAGAATCTCCTGGATGATGTTCAAAATCAAAAGCATGCATCCAAAACGCAACAGCAGCACAAGGCAGCACAGCATCCCTTCCAGAAGCCATCACCTTTTGACTTCGTTTCTACGGCTCCATGTCCATGGGGATTTGGGCCATCTCTTGTTGGATAACCAGCAGGTGGTGGGGCCTGCACATAATAAGGACCTCGAGCTGTGGAATGAGGTGGGGGAGGATACGCTGCGCCGGAGTTATTAGCTGATGAACTCATGATCTTTGAATAATAATATTCTAAGGCTCTTTGAAAAAAAACCGATCAGACAGAGAAGAAAATAATGAAATTAAGCTAGAGAAGTATTTGGGTTTTGGTTATTTGGGATGGATAGTTGATGAGGTGAAGCACAGTTTATATAGCAAGAAAAGCAGATGAGAATTGTTGGAGTGGTTGTTTCTTGGAAGCTCGATTGACACGGCGTAGCTTTGTTTATGTGGCGAAGAAAAATCACAGCACAAGATTGGCACACGGCAAAAGCCTACTATAAGGCTTCTAGAAGTATTCTGCGTTCATATTTGCCTTTTGGACAGGAAGGTCAAGGTATCTACGTAGGAAAGATGTGAATTTTATAATAAATATGGACGCGTGGCAACCGAAAATTTAATTCGAAAATTTAATCTGAAAATGTTATCTGAAATTTTATGTGAGAATTTTATAATAAATAGTGACACGTGGCAACCGAAAATATTATTTGAAAACCTTATCAAAATTAATGGTTTAAGTATAAAAAATAGAAAATAAATTAAAGCGAATAGTATTTTCCCTTGCCCTTAGAGCATCTCCACCCACAAGGGCTAAGTCTAAGGCAAGGGCTGTCACTATTCACGTGAATAGTGTCAGCCTTTGCATTTGTGGTTCCACCCACAAGGGCAAAGTCTAGGGCAAGTCTAAGGCAATTGCTATTCATTGTACTTTATTTCCTCTTTTTTTATACTTTAAACCATTAATTTTAATAATCTTTTGTAATTAAATTTTCGGATAAGATTTTCACCCTCTAAAATTGTGCCACGTGTCCCATATCAGATACGATTATCATATATTGAAAAAAAAAATTATAATATCAGATTTCAGATAAAATTTTCACCCTCTAAAATTGTGCCACGTGTCGAATGTCAGATAAGATTTTCAGATATTTTTAAAAAATTATAATCTCATATTTCAGATAAGATTTTCACCCTCTACAATTGTGCCACGTG